GGCAGGATAGTATGAAGGAAAATATAGTTAGTTTCCCACAGCATGACTAATATGGAAGTGTTTTGCACGACTACACATGTATAACCTGTATTGAGTTGCTTGCCTTTTCAGTGAGGGTGGGTGGGAAGGAAGGAAGGGAGAAAATTGGAGCCCAAAGTTTTAAAAACACATGTTAAGAAAAGGTGTTTTCACATGCAACTGGGAAATAAGAAATACAGGAAATGGGGTATAGAAATCTATCCTGCCATGCAGGAAAATAGAAGAGGAAGGGGATAAGAGAATGAGGGGAGGTAGAAGGGAGGGCAGATTAGGGGAAAGGGTATTCAGAATGCACACTGTCTTGGGGTTGGGAGAGGGATGAGAGGGGAAAAAAAATTGGAACTCAAAATCTTGTGGAAGTGAATGTTGAAAACTAAAAATTAATTAATTAATCTCAAAAAAAACCTGCATTAATTTATTATAATGCTAAAAGGGGCCTTACACATAGGAAGTACTTGATAGATCTTTGTTGGGCTGTACTTGTCAGAATACTTTAAAATCGCCATTTCTTATTCCTCTCCTTTATCCTGCATCATATACTTACAACTATATTGACCCTGGGAAAGTTGATTAATCTTTCTAAGCCTCCATTTCCTAATCTGTAAAACAGAGAAAATAAAAGCATCTACCTCATGAGGTTGTTATGAGGATTAAATGAGATATCATACTTGCTATTGGAAGGCCTAGGTTCTAATACCAGGTCTGTTGAAAGCTTTTTCTGTGATCTCAGAATCTATGATTTCTTAGGTATGAAGAGCTGACTCCAGACTATGCTTCAAGTCAATTCAACAAACATTCATTAACCAACTTTTTCGCACAGGCACTGTTGTGGTCTGATAGGTTGAGGCCCCTCAAAGACCGGAGTACAGGATGGTTCGTCTGGAATGAATTCACAAACTCAAGCATTCTTTAAGTCAAGGTGACAAAGATTTATTGTTACACTTTTCAGCGGGCAAGGATTCTTAAGGAACCTGAAAGAGACTGAGGATGGAGCTAGGGTTTATATGGAAAAGGGAATGGGAAAGGAATGCCAGGGATACCAATTAGGTAATCCAAAGGTCCAGGTGTCTTTGGGAGCTATGGATGGGAAAGTACAGGGAGTATACCAGTCAGAGAGGAAGATGACAGAGGTATGGATCTTGGGAGTCTGGCAGGAGGAAGAGTCCTTGGGCTGGCCAAGGACAAAACTTGAACTGGGCAAGGCACCCCTCTCCCTCTGTCTTGATGAGAGAATGCTCTGCAACAAGGGAAAGCTTTCTCACAAGACAGGAACTCACTAAGGAATCGGGAGGCTTCCAGAGACATGACCTGAGGGCTGGGGCCTGAGCAGCCCAGCACTCTCTCACCCAGCTTTGTGTAGCTGGACTAGGAAGAGAGATAAGGGTTGTGCTGAGGCCCATGTGTGAATAACTGCTAGACATAGTGTCTTTGGGCTGGGGAGTGGTTGTCAGAGACAGTGTTTCTGAGACTAGGGAGAAATTGGGGTCCAAGTACAAGCACAAGTACCCAAACACAAGCATCCAGGCACCCCATCAGCACTGTGTTAGTACTGGGGATATAAAAGGCAAAAACATTCCCTGCCCTCAAAGAGCTTACAACCTAAAAGGGGAGATACCATGCAAACAACTCCATATAACAGGATAAATTGGAGATAATATCAGAAGGAAGGCACTAGTATTAAAGTGAATCAAGTAAAGCAGAAGGTAGATTTTAGCTGGGACTTGATGGAAGCCAGGAAAGACAGGAAGCAGAGTTGAGAGCGGAGAGAGTTTCAGGCATGAATGAAAATGCTCAGAGTTAGGAGATGGAATCTTCTTGTCTAAGAATCAGCAAGGAGGCCAAGGTGTAAGAAGACTGAAAAGGTAGGAAGGGAGCAGTTTATGAAAGTCTTTACGTGCCAAATAGAGGATTTTATATTTGATTCTGGAAGTAACAGGGAGTGACTGGAGCAAGGCAACAGGGTCAGAACGGTACTTTAGGACAATCACTTTGATAGCTGAGTGGAGGATGAACTAGAGTGGGAATAGTGGCAGACAGCCCAACAAGCAGGCTACTGCAATAGTCTAGCTGAGAGATAAGGGCCTGCACCAGGGTGCAGCTTCAGAGGAGAGAAAGGGTATGTATGAGAGACACTGAGAACAACAGGACTTTGGAAATCCCTGGGGTAGTTAATCTACTCAGTTTTGGAAAGCTTGCTCTGGGGCTGTGCTGTTTTATTTTATTCATTCATTCATTCATTCATCTGTCTATCTATCTATTTATTCATTCATTCATCTATTTATTTATTTAGACTAGGCAATGGGGTTAAGTGACTTGCCCAGGGTCACACAGCTAGTGAGTGTTTTGTGTCTGAGGCCAAATTGAACTGAGGTCCTCCTAAGTCCAAGGCAGGGGCTGTGCTATTTTGAGTGGTGAATACAAACCCACTTAGCCCATTATAACTAACAGTTCTCAGATCAGGCTATGTTTCACATCTGATAAGGTAGATGAGGATCAGGGTCGGGTTGTCCAGAAAGAATTCAGGGGGCAGAGGTTCTCCTAGTCAAGAGCTTTTATTGACACAAAAGCAGTAGGCTAATCCTGGAAGGACTAGCAACTGGAGAAGAGACAATGCTTGCTTTTGTTCACAAGTCAGCCAGAAGTGGGCAGTTAACCACAGAGAAGGATATCAGGAAGGAGAAGCAGACATGTTGGGTTCTTTACAAAACAGGGAACTTAATTTGCAACATTCAAGGATATGACCATAAACCATAGGGATTAGTCAAGTACACAGAAAATAACGAGGTTTTCTTGTCAACAGATAGAACCCCCTGTAACCGGGCAGATTTAGATTTAGGCAAGGCTCTCATTGTTGCTGGGCAGAAGTCTGCCTCATCAACATGCCATCCAGCCATCCATCTGGGTGTTTGCAATATGGCACATGTGTACCCTTCCCTTCCTCCTTTCCCCTCTCCCACTTCCTGAAATCAATACTACCATTGTAGAAAAGATCTTATTCATTGGATGCTCTATCCATTAACTCACCATCCCTGTGACTCTATAGATCAAAACTCTCTTCCCTGGACACCATTCCCCCATATATGTTTTGCCTACCCCTGTTTAATAGGGTCTATTAGAATGTAAACTCCATGATAGCAAGAGCTGTCTCATTTTTGTATTTGTAATCTCAACACCTGGCAATATGCCAGACACCTTCTGGGCACTTAATACATGCCTTTTCATTCATTTATTATATATGTGTGTGTGTGTGTGTGTGTGTGTGTGTGTGTGTGTGTGTGTGTGTGTGTATGTATATATATATATATATACACACACATATACACACATAGGCATATATATGAATATCCGTGTGTATGTATGTGTTTATACACACATATATGTACATATATTTATATATACTGAGAGTTTTTCAAACCTTAAAATGCTAGAAATGTGGGCTAATAACTAAAAGGTAGGTTGGAGCGTACTAAGGGCAGCTTAGGTGGCAAAGTGGAAAAAGTGCCTGGCAAAGTGGAAAAAGGGTCTGAAGTCAAGAACCTGACTTCAAATCTGGCCTCAGATGCTTAATAGCTATGTGATCTTAAGCAAGTCACTTAACCCTGTTTGCCTAAGTTTCCTCCTCTGTGAAATGAGCTGGAGAAGGAAATGACAAACTGCTCTAGTATCTTTGCCAAGAAAACCCCAGATGGGGTCTGGAAGAGTTGGACATGATTGAGCAACAGCTTTAAATGCCAGGCAGAAAAATTTTTATTTAATCCAAAAGGTAATAGGAAGCCATTGAAAATTTTAGAACAAGAGGAGTTAAGGGAAATAAGTGAACAGCTTTTACCAGAAAGGCTTGTTTTCTCATTCTAACTTACAAGCTGTGACCTCTTAGGTAAATCAAAATTACAAAGCATTGGATAACAGCTTTCCCAACTACCTTAACAGATTGTCTAGACTAAATGGAATAACAGGTGTGAAAGTGTTTGGTAAATTGTAAAGTGACTTTACAAAGGCAAACTATTATAATTCCACACTGGCTGTATTTTCAGAATACATATAGGCTCCCAGAGCAGACTTTAGTGGAAGCATTCAGGACATTACCTAAATACTGGCAGTTTGAAAAACACACCATGATAGCTAGATCTATTAATTTTTATGGTTTTTTTAGCCTTGAACTTGATCTGAAGGACTACAGAAGGATGCAATTTGGTAAACAGGATTATCCATCTGGAGCTGCAAGGGGCCTTAAAGGTCATCTAGTCCACGGCTTCTTAAACCGTGGGACTAGAATTTTTAGTCCAGCTCTCTCATTTTATAGATGAGAAAGTTGAGACCTGGAAAGGTTAAGTGACTTGCGCAAAGTCACACAGGTACTAAACATCGGGGCTGAATTTGAAACCAGGTCCAATACTTCCAAAGCTAGTACGCTTTTCCACTCTTACGAAGCTTTGTCTCTAACAATACTGATGACGGCGGTGGTGGTGGTGGTGGTGATTATTACAATAGTAATATTTACATAACCCTTACTCTGTGCCAGGCACTGTACTAAGCACTTTACAAATATGATGTCATTTGAACCTCACAACAACTCTGCGAGGTAGCTGCTCTTATTATCCCTATTTTACAGATAAAGAAAGTGAGGCAAACAGAGGTTAAGTTGATTTGCCAGGAGTCACACAGCTATTAAGTATCTGAAGCCGCCTTTGAAATCAGGGGTTCCAGTCTCCAGCAAGTCTGTTTCTTTCTCTCCTCTCGCTTTCCCTGTCTCTGTCTCCACTTTCTCTGCTCCTGTCTCTCTGTCTCTCACACCACCCGTGCCCTAACTCATCATGGCAGCTTCGTCTTCACTGTTCCCAGCTCCCTCGAGGACTCCCTAGCTCCTCGCTGCGCCTGTCTCCTGGTCGGCTTCAACCGGGCACGGGCGACCAGGTATGACGCCACAAAAATAAATAAATAAATAAACAGAAGCCAGCCTGAGGAGCCTGAGGTGCGAGCGAGCGCTGAGCAAGCGCAGTGCGCCCGCCGGGCAGGCAGTTCCTTCCTTAGTCGGTATGAGCGGCGGAGGGACCGAGGCCCCTTCGGGGGGCGAGAGCGCCCCCACCCCCGCCGCGGTCCCGGCAGGAGGCAAGAAACGAGATTCGCAGGGACCGGCGAGCTCGCCAGTTCACCTAATTATCAAGGGTAAGGAGTTGTCAGGGCTCCCCTTCCCCACCTTCCACCTCTGTTGGCCCCAAGGAGCAGGCCGGGCCTAACCCCTGCGGCCTCCACCTTGGAGTGGGCCCCTCCTCCTCCTCCCAGGCCCGGGCGTGGTCCCCGCCCCAGCCCCTCGTGGGCTGCGAGCAGGGGCCTCCCCCCCCCCCATCCCCAGGAGCCCCGCCCTTCCATGCACCTCCCGAGGAGCTGAGCTTTTAGTGGGGTTTGTTTTGTGTCTGCAGGGGTCCGAGGGCTGTAGATGGCCGGCCGGAGACGTCCAGCAATAGGCCGGCCTCCCCTCAATGCTGCACCCACTACGGTCAACAACGATAATGATAATCTAACATTTATGTGCCTCGCACTATGCTAAGAATTGGGGGTACAAGAAGGTCATAAGACAGCCCCTACTCTCAAGTATTAAGATTTGCGAAGCGCTTTACATATATTATGTCATTTGATCAACTGCCAAGTGCTCGTTCTACCAGACAACCACCCTTCTGGTTCTCACAACCGGGAGTTCCTTGCACCCAGCCCACCTTCCATGGATTCATAGAGGTAGAGCTGGACAGGGCCTCCAGCCCCGTGTCTAATCTAATTCTCTCCTTTTACAGTTGAGGAAACAGGCCTAGAGAGGGGAAATGATTTGCTCAGAGTGACACAGGTAGTTAATATTAGAAGTTAGCCAACAAGCAATTATAAGCGCTCACTGTGTGCCAGGCATTGGACTAAGGGATACAAAGAAAGACGAAAAACAAAACAGGAAACCCAGGGTTCCTGCCCTCAGGGATTTCCTATTTAATGATTAATTAAATTTTAAAATATTGATATCTTATAATTCAATACTCCCATCTTGTGCTTATATATATATCACTGTAGTTGATTTTTGAATTTTGTAAAAACTTTAATCAGCTCCTGTTGAGTGACTGAAAAGTTGACTTTTGAAGTGCTAGCCTTAAGATCATCCAAAGAAGGAAGTTTTGGTGCAAACAGGTCAATTTTGACATTCTGCAAGATAAGGTCTAGTGGAAAGAGATAAGATGATGGAAATGGCAGAGCAAGAGGACCTCTACCAATCTACTGTCTGAGAAGTGTCATCTATAAAATTAAATTTAAAATGTATTCAAAATTCACAAAACAATAAATGTTACATTTAAATAAACTCTTTTGAAGTTTATAGCATGTATACTTCTGAAGTCATTAAAGCTTAGTATCGCACTAAGACTTTTGGGACACCATCTAGTGCAAATGGATGGTGATCTCAGAACTCTCTCCTCTGAGTAGATGGAAAAGTCTTCTTGCAGAAAGTGGTTTTTGAACATAGTCTTGAAAGAAGTCAGGGAAACTAGGAGATAAAAATGACAAGGTACAGCATTCCAGGCATGGGAGACAGTGGAATGAAATGTCTCCTGTGTAAGGAACGAGACCAGAATAGGTGGATCTTAAGAGTATATGGAGGAAAATAAAATGTAAGAAGACTAAAATAGTAGGAAGGGTCCAGGTTTTGAAGGGTTTAAAGTGCAATGCATATTTGATCCTGGAGGAAATAGGGATCCTTGGAAATTGTTGAATGATGTGTTGGGTGATCTGGTTAAAACCTTGCTTTAGGAAATCATTTTGTCAGTTGAATGGAGGGTGGATTGGTGGACTAATTAGAGGGCTATTGTAATAGACCAGGTGAGTAAGAGGTGATAAAGATGGTGGATTGTGAATAGAGAGAAAGGGACATGTGAGAAATGTTGTAAAGGTAGACATGATAAGAATTGCAATCTGGATATATAGGATAAGTGTGAGTGAAAAGATGAGTTTGACAATGAGATTTTGAGCCTAGATGAATGGGAAGATAGTTGACATAATAGGGAGTTTGGGAAGAGAAGGTTGGTGAGGGAGGGGAGGAAGCTAATGAATTGTTTGTACACATTGAATTTGATTTGAATCCTGGCTGACCCCATAGCCAATGCCTTAATTGATTCTACTGCTCTGCCTTAACTGATATTTTCTATAGCTGCCAAATATTCCTAAAGCACAGGTTTGACCATATCTCTTCTCTCCTGTTCAAGATGCTCCAGTGGTTTCCTGTTGTCTTTAGATTAAAATACGGTGTCTTCTGTTTGACATTTAAAGCTTTTCACAGTCTGACTCCAGTCTACCTTTCCAAAATGATTATACATTACTTCCTCCTCACTTATCTTGTATTCTAGCTGAACTGGCAGCCTTGTCATTGTTTCATAAATCTACATAATTTGTACAGGTTGGCCTGATGTCTGGACCATTCTCCCTCACCTCTGCCACTTGGAACCTCTTGAATAATTGAAGTTGAGAATTACTGAAGGGAAAATAGAGAGGAGAATGGGGGGGAGGTATGAGCAGGATCTAGCACCTTTAGAGGAAAGTATAGCTAGTAAATAGAAGGGCTACTTACTTAGTGAAAACAAGGGATAAATTATAGATAATCTTCTTGCTCCTATTGGGATCCCTGAAATCTCAGAAGAAATTGAGGAAGGCTTCCAGCATGTTAGGTGGACCTCCAGTGACAAATTTATGAAAGTACATGGACAGGGTGCACAGGATGGGCAGCAATTGATGGCAGACCTACCTGATCAGAGGGAATATCCAAATGAATAAATTCACAGTTCCATAAGAGTATTAGAATATATATTTATGGAAGACTAAAAATAATATGCCAGTGAACACAAAGAAGAGTTATGTCTGTATATCTTTGTTCCCATGGAATGGGTAGTACAGTATGGTGCAGAAAATCCTGTACTTTGGGTTTTGATCCCAATCTAACTTATATTAATTACAAGTTCTTGGACAATTCACAGTTCTTTGAGCCTGAAGTTTCCTCACCTGTAAAATGAGAATAATGTACTTAAAGGGTTGTAAGGATCTATTCAGTTCAGCAGGCATTTGTTGGATGCCTAAAATGTGCAAGGTAATGTGCTAGGTGTTGAGTATACAAAGAAAACAATGAAACCATCTTCCCTGAAGGTTTTTACATTCTGCTGTAGGAAGGAAAGTACAACACGTACAGCATGTGGTATAGGTATAATGTCAGGTAACAAGAGAGGGGGCAAAGATGGTGTTGGAGGAGGGAGAGCATTTTATTTTATTTACTTTTTTAATAATAAATGTATTTATTTATTTTTAGTTTTCAACATTCACTTTCATAAGATTTTGAGTTCCAAATTTTCTCCTCATTTCTCCCCTACCCCAAGATGCATGTGAATCGATATAGGCTCAACATATACATTCATATTAAACCTATTTTCACATTAGTCATGTTGTAAAGAAGAATTAGAACCAATAGGAGAAACCATGAGAAAGAAGAAAAAAAAAGAGAGAGAGCAAATAATATGCTTCGATCTGCATTCAGACTCCATAGTTCTTTTTCTGCATGTGGACAGCATTTTCTGTCATGAGTCTTTTAGAGCTGTCTTAGATCCTTGCATTGCTAAGGAGAGATAAGTCTATCATAGTTAGTCATCACACAATGTGGCTGTTATTGTGTATGATTGTCTCCTGGTTCTGCTCACTTCACTCAGCATCAGTTCATATAAACCTTTCCAGGTTTTTCTGAAGTCTGCCTGCTCATCATTTCTTATAGCACAATACTGGTCCATTACATTCATATACTACAACTTGTTCAGCTATTCCCCAACTGATGAGCATCCCTTCAATTTCCAATTCTTTGCCACCACAGAAAGAGCTGCTGTAAATATTTTTGTATATGTGAGTCCTTTTCCCATTTGTATGATCTCTTTGGGATACAGACTTAGAAGTGGTATTGCTGGGTCAAATTTTATAGCCCTTTGGGCACAGTTCCAGATTGCTCTTCAGAATGGTTGGCTCAGTTCACAACTCCACCAGCAATGTATTAGTGTTCCAATTTTCCCACATCTTCTCCAACATTTATCATTGTCCTGTTTTGTCATGTTAGCCAATCTGATAGGTGTGATGTGGTACCTCAGAGTCTTTTGATTTGCATTTCTCTAATCAACAGTGATTTAGAACATTTTTTCATATGATTATAGATAGCTTTGATTTCTTCCTTTGAAAACTGCCTGTTCATATCCTTTGACCATTTATCAGTTGGGGAATGACTTGTATTCTTATAAATTTGACTCAGTTCTCTGTATATTTTAGAAATGAGGCCTCTATTAGAGCCACTGGTTGTAAAAATTCTTTTCTAGTTTTCTGCTTCCCTCCTAATCTTGTTTGCCTTGGCTTTGTGCAAAAACTTTTCAATTGGGTGTAATCAAAATTATCCATTTTGCATTTCATAATATTCTCTAGCTCTTGTTTGGTCATACATTTTTCCATTCTCCATAAATCTGACAGGTAAATTATTCCTTGCTAGGGAGAGCATTTTAACAGGAGGTTCAGGAAAGCACCTGAGTTGAGCTTTGAAAGAAAATAAAGAATGTAAAAGTTGTCAAATGAGGTGGAAGTTTATGCCAAACATTGTGGATGTTATGTGAATGCAGAAAGGCAGAAGATAGCTTATGAAGTTAGGAAACTTTAGGAAAATTCAAGTAACACTAGTTTTCTGGAATTTAGGGTGGGTGAAAAGGGGTTATTATAAAAGGAAGCTAGAAAAGTAGGTTTAGCTAGATTGTTGAGGACTTTGATGCCAGGGTAACAACAACACATTTGTATTTCATCCTAGAAATGATTGGAAAACACTAAGACTTTTTTTTCTTTTTAAAGCAAGCCAGTGACATGGTTGGACCTGTTAAGGTCTGAGAGGTTGAGACCCCTCAAGGACCAGAGTATAGGATGCTGTCGTCCGGAATGAATTCACAGACCCAAGCATTCTTTAAGTCAAGGTGGCAAAGATATATTTATTATGTTATGCAGCGGGCAGAGGTCCTTAGGGAACTTGCAACCTAACAGGAATGATGCTAAACCTTACATAGGAAAAGTAGTGGATTTTGGCAAGTATGCTAATTAGGTGATAATATACAACTCTGTTCACTCACTACTGGAAATCTTGGAGACGGGGAAGAGAGGGTTCCTAAAGGGTATATTTTTGGTCTGTCATGTCTGTAACAAGATAGTTTCAGGAGCTGATATCTATAGCTTGACCTCTGGATTGTATACAATAACTATGGGCATCGGTACTTAATGGTTTTGCTGGTACAAGATAGTCCTGTTCATATAAGGGAAATTCTACAGAGGCCAGTTTGTTCTTGTAACAGGGAGAGATAGTTTGCCTCACTGGGCCCACTCATGAATCACTGCCAGAGATAGGGTATTTGGGCTGGAGGGAAATTGTCAAGGATAGTGTTTCTGAGGCTAAGGAGAAATATGATCTTGAAAGTGGGGTCGGAGTACAAGCACCCAAGCATCCCATCAGACCTATGCCTTAGGTAGAAAATTTTGACCGATGGGCATGAGATGGATTCTAAAGAACACTGGTAACAGGGAGGCTAATTGGTAGGATATTACAGTAGGCTAGATAAGTGGCATTGAGTATTTGAACTAGGAAATGGCATTGCTAGTATTGTGAAGGTAGAACTGACAGGACTTGATAACTGATTCGAAGGTGAAGGAGAAGGAAGAATAAAAATGACTGAAATTTTGAACCTAGGTGACTGGTAAGATGTAGGTATCCTGTATCAAAAGAGGAGAATTGGAGGTTGGGCAGGTTTCGGGTAGACAATGGTAAATTTAGTTTTGGACATGTTGAGTTTGAGTTTTTTGCACATCCCCAGTGCTTAACACATTGCCTGACACATAGCAGGCAGTAAATGCTTTTTGAAAAGCAGACTAGTGAGGAAGTTGTGGCAAGTATAGATTAATCATTCTAAGGACTTACTCATGAAGTACATAGTACTGGTCAACTCTTAACTGTATGTAATAATTTAATTTCTCTGGAAATTTCAGGTTATACATCTTAGGCCTCGTGATTGTTAAAAGTGTAGAATGAATAAGTTGACCTATAGACTACAGGTAAATTTCTAAATTGTAACTTTCTTGTACCTGTAACTTTTCCTAAATCTTAGGGATTTTAGAAAAAATTTCAAACAAAAAAGCTTGTTGTATTACTCCCAGAGAGGAATAGGATCATAGATTTATAGCTAGAAAGGACTTAGACATCATCTAGTACAGAGATGTCAAACATATGACCCTTTAATTGCTGCCCCAACACTCAAATACAACCAAACCAGATTAAAATAACATTTTAACAAACATTTAACAAAATAAATTCATAATAAAATAATAATTTATAATGAAATAAATTTAACAAAATTAGACATTTGACAAAATAAAAATACAGTAGAACATAGGTGATGTTAATATGTGGTTTTTAAAAGTCGTGTGGTACTAGGGCTGTTTCTGTGTGAGTTTGCACCATTGATCTAGGCTAACTCCCTCATTTTCCAGATGGGGAGACAAGCTCACAGGGATTAAGTGACTTGACTGAAGTCATATTGCTAATTGAGGTTCAAATCCAAATTCTCTGACTCCTAATCCAGTGCTTTTTTTCCATTGTTCCATGAACATTACCAGTGACTTGATGTTTATTTTGTCTTTATAGATCTGGGAGAGATTCATTCTAGGCTGTTAGATCATCGACCAATTATTCAAGGAGAAACACGTTACTTTGTGAAAGAATTTGAAGTGAGTATTTATCTTTGAAATATTATTAAAAATACCAATTACTGGTTAGAATTCTGAATTGGAGAGAAACTCCCTTAAGTTTTGATTTTTCAATGCTCACTTCTTCTGTCCACAACATGGTAGGAAAAAAAACCTTTAAGAATATAGAATAAATAGGTAAACAATATCTTAATACTTCAAAAGCATTATTAAAGTATTTTCTTTTTTAAAAATCTTATTTATACTGGAAAAAATAACGCTAACATTTTCCACTCAGTACTCCTCCCTTCCTCTCCTTACCTTCCAGAAACCCTTTGGTGAAAAGAAAAACAAACCAGTACATTTACCATGGCTTACCATATGCTTTATGCCCTACTAGTAGTTTACACTTTCTCTATGGAAAGGAGAAGAGTAAATTTCATCATCAACTCTAAGGCAGAGTGGTGCTATGGAAAGAATGCCATGCTTAGAATCTCACCTCTCCCACTTCTTAAATGCATGCTCTTGGGCAAGTCACTTAACCTTTCTGGCCTCAGTTTCCTCATATGTAGAGCAAGAATATTGGACTAGATGACCTTTATGTTTTCTTCCAAAGTTATTTGACCCTCTGATTCTCTTGATTCATTGAATTCATCTGAGGTTCTGATGGATTTTAGTGTTTTCCTTTACATTGTTGTGGTTATTTTGTAAATTTTTTTTTGGTTTTGCCAACTTTGATCTGTGTCATATAAAGTGTTCCCAAGTTCTTCTGAATTCTGATCTCCTTCCTATCTTTCAAGGGCTTGGAGACTTTAGGCACTATGATGTTGGAGGACCTGCCTAGCATCACCTACCCAGTATCAGATACAAAATGTCTTCCTGACTGATGCTAACTCTCTGTTCACTACCTTTTTCCATAGCAAAAGGCTAGAAACAAAGTGGGTGGTCATGTACTAGGAAGTGACTGAAGAGATTTTGGTATATGAATGTAACAGAACATTCTTATATCATTTCTTATCCATCCACCCCCATTTTCTGCATCACAAAGGGTGTCAGTAGGAACATTTTGTTATATATGAGACCTTTCTTTCTGTCACTGATTTTCTTGAATATATACCCAGTAGTGGGATCATTGAATCCAAACTTTTGAACAGTTCAATGACTTATTGCTTCTCATATAATTCCAAATTGTTTTCTAAAATGCTTGGATCAATTCACATATCCAACAACATAGTGTCTGTCTTCCTATAGTCTCTCCAATATTGGTTTTTTTCTTTTTTTAAATCTTTGCCAGTTTGCTGGTTAAATCTCAGAATTGTTTTAATTTGCATTTCTTTTTATCGATATAAAACTTTTTTTCATATTGGTGTTGATTATTTGCATTTCTTTTGAAGCACTTTTTTCATATCCTTTTACCTTCCTTGTACATTTTCACTTTAAATGATAATTATTTAAAAGTATTATTTTCCTTCTACATTCTTCACTTTAAAGGATTATAACTTAAAACAATAGTTTCCAACCTGTAGGTTGCAGTTATTTCAGGAAGCCTATTAATTCACATGTGCACTTATTGTTATTTGGCCATTGTTTTCTTAGTCAGTGGATACTAAGTAAACCTACTGTCATATGAAGAACTGTGAATTTTTTTGTTAGGAAAGATCTTCATTAGTCAAAAAAAAAGATCTGCTGATATTTATATAATACTTTTAAGTTTACAAAGCACTTTACATGTTTTTGTCTCACTTGAACTTCACAGTAAGCCTGTGAGATTAGTACTCTTGGTACAAATTGATTTTCTCATTTTATAGATAAAACACTGGGGCCCAGAAAGTCAAGTGACTTACCCATAGGCTCATAGAGAATATATAATACAGGATTTGAATCCAGATCTTCTTACTGTAAGTCCAGTACTCTTGTCTACTATGCCATACTGTCACTAGAAAAACTTGGGAACCATTGCCTTAAATTTTAGAGCATGATGCAGCTAGGTGGCAAAGGGAATAGAGCAAGTGGAGAGGAGACCAAAAGACCTGAATTCAAATCCAGCCTCATACATTTACTGGCTGTGTGACATTGGCCAAGTCACTTGACCTTGTTTGCCTCAGTTTCCTAAATGAAATAAGCTGGAAAAGGAAAAGAAGCAAACCACTCCAATATCTGTGCCAAGAAAACCCCAGATTCATTCATGAAAAGTTGGACACGACTGAAATGACTCAACAACAATAATATGTAAACCTATAAAATAGCTTCTCTCTGCACTTGCCTAGAGCTCTCTCCTTCCTAATCTCTACCTTCTGGTTTCCCTATAAGTCTCAGCTAAAAATCTTACCTTCTGCAAGAAGCTGTTCAATTCTTCCTTAATCTTAGTGACTCCCCTTTGAAATTATTTACAATTTAATCTGTATCTTATTTATACATAGTTGTTTGAATGTTGTGTCCCCTTTTAGGTTGTGAGCTTCTTGAGAATAGGAACTGTTTTTTACCTTTCTTTGTATCCCCAGTGCTTAGCACAAGGATTGGTACACAGTAGATACTTAATACCTATTGGCTGGTGAAAATTGTACTTAATAAATACTTATTGACTGGTGAAAATAAGTTTATAAGAGGAATGCTTACTAAGGAGAATATACTTTTAATACTTAGGAAAGTTTATTCACAGTGGTAGTGGCTATGCCCTGGTTGAAGATCCATCAGAGAAAACTGAGATAGGAGAAGAATCAGGAGAGAACAGTATCTCAAAAACCTAGGGAAGAAAGAATATTGAGGAGAAGAAGGTAATCAACAGTGTCAAAGTCTGCAGAGAGGTCAAGAATGGATTGAGTAAAGATAACCATGTTTGGCAGTTAAAAGATCCTTGATACCTTGAGAGAAAGCAATTTCAGCTGAATTGCAGAAAGTTTTAGAAGAGAGTAAGAGGAAAGGAAGTGGAGGCATCAATTGCAGACAGCTTTTTCAAGTTTAACCGTGAGAGGAAGGCACAAGTAGAAGGCTTTTCCTTCACAAGGAGAAGAGCCACCTCTTCATGAGACAGAAATGAAGGAGGAGATGTCGGAGAAAGGCATCTGAGAAATGTAAGTTGAGGAGTAGGTGAGAAGAGGGGGCTCTTGGCAAATGTGCCCCATTTTTTCAGTGAAATATGAGGCAAGATTCTCAGCTGGAGGTGGGAGGGTGGTACAGGGAGTCATGGGAGCCTTGAAAAGGAATGAAAAGGCTTGTAAAAACTGCCTTGGTAGAGTGAATTTATTATTGCATGTGCATAAATGTAGTAAAACTGCATTTTTAAATAAACATTGGGATTTTCAAAATTTCAAACTGGCCTTCCCTCTGAATTATTACAAATTTCTTCTCCCATCTGACTCAACTGTGTTTTTCTGTTGTACCGATTAGAAGGAAAAAAAATAGAAGTTCTTGTGGAACCTTAAGGTTTATATGTAACTTTAGAAAACCTTGATCTTAGTCTAGTCTCTAATATACTTCATTAAAATTTCTGGGGCTTTTGTACAGAGATACTTGAGGCTGAAGAAAGAAAAACATTATTCTTCACAATTGTAATCATTGCTGTGTCATTTTAACTTAGTTTAAAAGTATAGTACAACAACCAAGCAGTCCATGTAATCCATAGTTTATGGACTGGTCAACTTGATAAATGATTAAATATGCAGATAATAGTTCTCATTTTTTCTATTATATGTGTCAACAGTTCTAATAGAAATTAATAGAAGAAAATATATACCACATGGTGGCAGCATTTACTAGAGAATTGGAAGGGCTCTGCTATGCTTTTGTGTTCCCTACTTTTAAGAATGATCAACCTTTCTCCTGACTTAATGCATATTTATTCACCTTGGTTCCGTTTGAAATTTTGAACAGAGTTTTAGAACTTCTTAGTTTTCTGTGATGAACATTCTGCTGATTAACCTTTATCTAGTATTGTTCAGTAAAAATGGAACAATAAGCCTCATTTTTCCGTGGCTCCGTCTTCCAACATTTGAGGAGATTTCATTTTCTCCTTCTTATATATAACTAAGGCGGGACCTATTTATTAATCAGTCAATCAATTAGAAACGCAACTCCTACTCTGCAGGCACTGTTCCAAGTGCTGAAAGGTATATATGAAGTTCCTATTGGATTCATATCGTTGTTCTAGGTTTTTGAGTCTTTCAAGTGAAAATACTATAAATGAGGGAGAAGAACAATCATCATTCTAATACGCAGATAAGTATGGTAACTTCAAGTTTGGGGAGGGTTATTGATGAGTTAAAGTGTAGATTTGCTTGATCAGGGAAGCTTTCCTGGAAAAGGACTTTACCTTGAAATTTAAAAGATAGGAAAAATGAAGCAAGGGCATAAAAGTCCATGGTCTAAACAAGACTGTGTTCACAATTGTAACATTCTATTTCTAGTGCCCAGGAAAAAAAATAGCTCGCTAGAATAAAATATTCTGTTATGGATGCAGGTAGGTAGATACATGTTAGGTTTAGTTTCTGTCTAGTTGGCTAATTCTTGATAGAAGGAAAACTTTAAATCATTTAAATCAATTTTTACACCCTCTTCATAGTACCTCCAAGTAATATAAAGAACTGGGATTGCCTTGATAACTCTATAGAAGTAACTTGTTACTGTAATTAGGTTAGTAAGAAATCAATTTAATCTTCCTATTTAAATTATTGGAGTATGATCCATATACAAGTGACAGGCATTATGGTGTAGTGGCTAGAGAGTTGATTTGTGATGAGAAAATCTACAGTTAAAGTCCTGTCTCTGAAACAAACCCGTGATTGTGGAAGAATCCCTTTAACCTCTCAGTGACTCCAGCCAACTCTGTCAAACCATAAGTTGGTCTTGAGATGTTGTCAACCTGTATCTGTAGAGGAATTTTTCCAGACGTACAGTGATGAAATTATAAGTATAGACCAAAAGAAATCTGCATATAAATAAACTTTATTTTTTTTAGAGGTACTTTCATGGAACTACTATTTTAGTTCAAGTTCTTTTCTAAAATATACCAACATTAATACATATTCAATAATGAAAATATATAAGCTTACATATACAAATGCTTATGCCACATTTTAAGCCTCTTGAGTAATCCACATGCATTTATTAAAAGCCTGCCATGTACCAGGCATTATGCCAAACACTGGGAATAAATGACAAGAATGAAACAGTTCTTCCCCTTTAAGTACCCTCCATTCTAAAGAGGGAGACATTTACAAGTGTATTCAAAATACAATACAAACAGGTTGATTTTCAGGGAGGAAGTAGCAGCTAGGAAGGATCAAGGAAGACCTCATTTAGAAATTGGTATTTGAGCTAAGCTCTCAAGGAAACTAGGGATTCCAAAGAGGCATAGATAAGGAGTGAATGCGTTCCAGGCATGGTGAAGAGCCTGTTTGAAAGACTGGACATGGAGGGGGGGACGGGAAGAGGGGAGAGAGAGAATGAGAGAGAGAGAGAGGGAGCCAGCCAGCCAGCCACCCATATTGGCTGGGCCATAAAGTATGAATAGAAAAGTAGTCATTGAGCCTGGAAAGATAGGTTTAAGCCTGGTTGAAAAGGGCTTTAAATGCCAGGTAGAGAAGTTGTTTTTGACTTTAGAGGCCATAGGAAATGAATGTAAGCATTTAATATGTACTTGGCACTGGGAAAACAAATAAAGAAATAAAATTGACCTTGCCCTCAAGTAATTTACATTTAATCAGAGAAGAGAGCACATATAGGGAATTAATGGCCAGGGAAGGGAGTTTTGATTTGAGATTCACTTGGATGGTGAGTGGGGCTGTAAGGCAGGTAATTGACACTCATCCCTTATAGAAGTAGTAGTACTCTTGATTTGAATACTATATCCAGAGTGAAAGGTTGAAAACAGAGGATGAAGTTGAGGATGTGCTAGCAAGCAGATGGCAAGATGACCTGGGTGGATAATTGGATGGGATGTGAAGAGGAAACATTTTCAAGAACTTGGGGCTACCTAGATGTAGTGGAATAAATAGACTAGCTTTCACTCATTCGAAGCCACTGGAATTTATTGAGTATGAATAGGAACTGTATCCTCTTTTACCTTTGTATTTAACCTAGCACGTTATCTAGCACAGTTTGACTATAGTAAACACTCAGTAAATACTGAATGAGTAAATCCATGAATATAAGTTAAGGGGCAGCTGGAAAGGGTAGGATTCTGAGTTCTACTACAACGAATACTCTTTGATAGAAGCTGACTTGGTTCTCTGAGCTTCCTTGTTGTCTTGTAGTTGAGAAGACATTAGTTCTCTTCCTAACTAAATAATTAATCTACAAACATAATAGTGTAGGTCTTCCTTACCTTCTACTTATACCAAGTTATAGTTGAGAATTGGAACTTATAGTAGTATACTGTAAACCACATTTTTAGTAGCTACTTGTTTCTAATAAGCTACTTTTACAATTTAGGAAAAGGTGAAGCTTATAAACAAATGAAATAGTCTCTGCTGAAAAAGTACTTATATTTCATCAAGATTACATGTACATATATAAGTATAAAAATATAAATACAGCATAAATCCTAGTAATGACTAAAAAAAAGAGTGTATGAACTCTCAGAAAACAGGGTCTAAGGGTCTTAACCTTTTTTGTGTTGCAGATCCTTTGGCATTCTGGTTAAGGTTATAGACTCCTCAGAAGAATGTTTTTAAATGCAAACAATAGGATTATAAGGAATCCAATTATATCGAAATATAATCTTTTTTTAAAAAATTTATATCATGGGCCCTAGGTTAAGAATCCTTGTTCTAAGATTTTGAACAACTTATATGGTGGTAATTTGCCTTTTCATTTCTGAATAGGAAAAACGGGGCCTCCGAGAAGTGAGAGTTCTTGAGAATTTGAAGAATGTAATCCAGGAGACAAATGAACAGATTCTTCCTAAATGTAGAGAAACAATGCAGGATCACCTGAGCCAGACTCTGCAGAGATGTAAGCCAGCAAATATTTGTCTTTTAAATTAATTTTTGAGGAGCGAAATGCCAACATTTATGTCCTGGTGTTTTCTCTTTTTAATCTATGTGCTTTCCTTTCGATTCGGTTTCAAAAGAGAAAAGGCTTTTATTAAGGGTAAATAGTAGGGAAATTGTGTCACAAAGAGGTAGGTACTAAGCGGTGAATATTATGATATTGTTATCAGTATTATTATAATTGTATTATTAAATATATGAGGTTACAGAGAAGATATTTGTTGGAATATTAGATTTTGTACATTTTGCTTATGTCTGTCATAACTTTTTTCCAATACACAAAAATGTTAAAGATATTTGTTTTTGTCAAGAGAATAAAGCACGTTAAATCATTTGTTTTGTTTCCTTCTTTGAATGAATCGGAGATGTCCTTCAGCTGTCTTTAAAAAAAAAGAACTGTCCTAAAACAGGGTGGCAAGGGAATAGAGTCTCCTTAGAAATTAACTAGTATTTTCCCTTGGGTAAGAGTAGAGCCTCTTTTCTAGTTGAACTGAGATGTCTCACTCCTAGTGGGAGAACTCATTCACTTTGTGTATTTTCTGGTATATCCTAATCTGTGTAACTTCACTGATTTCTATTTGCTCTGTGCTTGCAAAAATAAGTTTACTCTGTATTCATTGTTTGTGATGGTCATTTATGTCATTAGAAGGGGTTGAGTCTGCATGTATAAACTTGGATGTACCCTCTAGCTTTAAAAAAGAGCAACCAGGGGAACTACTAGCTTTGTAGCTTTTGAACTTTAAAAATTGCATTGCTCTGTACCAGCAATATTTAGGAAGTAAGGACAGCAGAGAGACACAATTCTAGTCTGTTCCCCCTTGTTTCCTCCCCCCCCATCTCTCAGAGGAAAACATTGTGGCCAGCCATATGACCCTTTCTCCTGCTGCCCTCCAGGCAGGAATCAAAGTTTTCCTTAGAGAAGGGCGGGCAAGATTCCAGAGATGTATCTATATGCCACCCCCATCCCACCATATTGTGGATCTAGGGGAATGAATTTTTAGGTTCAAAAGCAACAAAGCCACTAGCTTACTTGTTCACTGTCTCTTAAAGGGAGACTTAGAACTTACAATCACAGGTTTAACTCCTTCCCAAATGCTAGACCATCGTAGTGAATGGTGAGTAAGCCCATTTATCTAAGCAGAGAGCAAACAAAACCAGAGAAGTTATATAAATTAGAGTATACCAGAAAAAACACAGAGTGAATGAGCTCTAAAATGAAAATGAGATAACTCAATCAATAAAAAGACCCCAGTCTCACCCAGGAGGCTTATCTCTATTTCTGCCTTCCAAAATCTATGTGTCTCTCTCCTGGAGATCGGAGATCTGGAGGTCTGGAATTAGTCAGTCAATTAATCAGTATTTATTAAGTACCAACTATGTGTCAGGCACTGTTCTAAGTACTCGGGATACAAAGAGGCAAAGGACAGTCCCTTCCCTCAGGGAGCCTATAATCTAATAAAGGAGGCCACATGCAATCAAACACACACATGCATATATATATATATGTACACACACACATATGCATACATTATATATGTATGTATGTATGGGGAGAGAGAAAGAGAGAAAGGTAGCTATGGACAGGATATGTAGAAATAATTAACAGAGGGAGGGTGCTGGAATTAAGAGGGGTGGAGAAGGCTTCCTGTAGAGGGTGGGATTTTAGTTGAGACTTAAAGGAAACCAGGGAAGTCAGCAGGCAGAGCATCTCAGGCATGTAAGACAGCCAGAGAAAATCCCTGTGGAGATAGAGTGTCTTGTTCATGGAACAGCCAAGAGACCGTTGTCACTAGACTGGAGAATACATGGTAGGGGAAGTAAGGTATAAGAAGACTGGAAAGGCAGGAGGCATTTGGATGCCAAATGGAATATTTTTTTATTTGATCCTGGAGTTTATTGAGTAAGAGGGTGACATTGTCCAACTTGTGCTTTAGAAAAATCACTTTGGTGGTTGAACAGAGAATGGATTGGAGTGGGGAGATACTTAAGGCCAACAGACTCATCGCAGGCTACCGCAGCAGTGTAGGTGTGAAGTGACAAGGGCTTACATTAGAGTGGTATCAGCGTCAAAGGAGAAAAGGGGGCTTATTTGAGAGATGTTGCAGAGATGAAATTGCCTGGCCTCGGCAGCAGCTTGGATGCAAGGGTGAGAGATAAAGAAGCATAGAGGATGATTCCTAGGTTGCAGTCTTTGGGGGCTAGGAGGATGGTGTTGGCAGGGGATGGGGAGAGTTTAGGGAGAAAGATGATGGGTTCAGTTTTGGATATGTTGAGTTTAAGATGTCTACTGAACTTACAGTTTGAGATATCTGAAAGGCCATTGGAGGCTGGAGAGTGTAGGGCAGGATAGATAGATTTGAGAATCATCAGCAAAGATGATTCTCCCAAGAGTCTGGAACTATACATGTCCTCTCCCAAAGGAGAAATGAAGAATGTCTAATCTGCAGTGTTCTCCCACCAACTTCATTCTTCACCCAGACACGCAGCGAGTCATCATTCTGTCCCTCACTGAGGAAAATCTGATGTCAGTGCCTCAGGCTTGAAATATGGGTTACACAGATATTTTAGATGTGGAATTTCTGTACAGCATTATTCTTTTTGTGACTGTGATGAGTATTTGTGATGAATAGAGTTTTGGCTTTGGAGTTAGTAAAACCTGGTTCAAGGCATGAGTGACATGCACTTGCTCTTTGACTGTGGGCATGTGACTTGACTTCTCATTGTCCCAAGATAACTCTAAAACTATAAATTATAAAGAAGTTACTAATCTGCATTAAGGGGAAGGGTTTCTGTGCCTGGATGAAATCACAGATGTCTGGACATGCCAATGAGATAATGCCAATAAATGTCCTTTGACAAAATCACAAGTTCTAGATACAAATAATCAAAAACATTATAAGTTGGAGATAATGCCACATTACAGTGTACTGATTTGTTTAGTTGTTAGGGTAGTGGTGATTCTGATGTCATGGTCAACATCTGAAAGGAAGAATTCTTAATCTGGAGTACGTGTCCATGGATCTATGGACAAATTTTAGGAAGTCCTATGAATTTAGATGGGAAAAAAATTACATCTTTATTTTCACTAAACTTAAACTGATATTTAACATTTTCTTCAATTATGAATTTAGGCAATAAACTATAGTAATATTAGCAGTATTAATAAGGAGTTTGACCATACCCTTTTATTGTGCATGTCCTCTGAGGGAAGCTGGCAAGGGCAACTTTAGTTTGTCCTGAAGCAACATGCCCTTACACCCATGAGATTTTCACTTCCTGCTGTCCCTGGACCCCCAGGCTCCAGCCTCAGGTGAGAAGAGAGGAGAAGCAAGACCTTCCTTTGGCCTTTGACTGAGTCTTCTGTCTCCCAGTGTGCATGTATCTCCTGAGGGAAGGCTGCTAAAGAGCAGTTGAACAACCATCTTTGCCAGCACAAAGCAACTTCCAGTTCCTGTTGCCAGCCTGATCTGATGCAGAGAATCACAGTGCAGAGGATCAACCTTCCTTTTGACTTCAGGCATTCCATCTCCTGCTGGGCCTGTCCTTTGAGAGAAGAGAAAGAAGAAAGTCAGTGGGGAATGGGATTTCCTCCTTCTGTGCAGGTTTGACTTCCATCTCCTGCTGCATCATTTCCTGCCTTATCTTCAGAGGGAATAGGAGTAATAAAATGAGGCTTCCCATTTGACTGTGTGCCTTCCATCTCATGCAATACTTGTCTTCAACCTGATGGCTCCTACAAAGAGAAGTGATGCCTTCCAGTCAATGATGAACGTTTATTTTTGCATCTGGTCATACCTTATACATCCCAGTTATTCTTAACCCATATAGGTCATCATCAAAACCCCATTCCCTGTCTTCCAAACTTGATTTCTTATTCCCATCCCCCTCAACCCTTCCACCTCAAACTAACAACCACATGTCACCTACCCCTTCCACTGTGTCCTCTGGAGTGCAACAAACTTACCTTCATCTTAAATCTTTTCCTTTCCTATTCCTTCCATCTTCTAGCTATCACTGAAACTTGGCTCCGCACTGATGATACAATCTCCCTGGACACCCTTTCCAGGATTGTCTGCCTCTTCACTCATTCCTCTTGGTTCACTGGTGAAGGTGAGGGAATTGGAATACTCCATGCTGCCCATTGCCACTTCCATATTCTTCCTTTATCTCCGTCACTCAGTAACCTCTCTCTTCCTTTGAGGTTCATGAATCTCATATCTACCATCCAGTAAAAATCCTGATAAGCAGTTGTCTACAAGTTACTCTCCTTCCTTCATCAGCCACACACAAAGATAGCCATACCCTTGATCTGGTAATCACCCACATACGTACTAGCTCCAAAATCCCCTTATCTAACTACAGTCTGTTGGCTTTTCACATCTCCTTCTGTCTTCCTTTACTAAACCCCGTACTTCATTCACACTGTACCCTCTCACAGGCCTTCTCTCTTGCTCTTGCCACTTTTTCCTCATTTAACCCCTTTTGGTGAACCTTGTCTCTTAAGTCCCTGGCCCCTTTATCACTTTGCTGATTGTACCCTGCCAAGCCTCAACTTCGGATTGTTCCTACTGTCTGCTGACTTTGCTCCTATACCCATGCTATTTAACAAAGGTGGAGAAAATAAATCCCAACATCATTCTGACTAGGTTCCCTGTAAACTTATGTTACACAACCTCAACTGTTGGGTCTTCATTGCTGCTAGGCAATCCTACTATGTATTTCCTTCATCAGTTCATCTTCCCAGTCTCCACAAGACCTCTTCCAAACCTTTTCATCCATTCTTAAAACTCCCATGGCTCTCCTTCTTACCACCTTCTCAGCTGAGAACCTTGCCTCATATTTTACAGAAAATTTGGGACCATTTGCCTTGAACTACTTCTCCCCTCTTCCTCACCTCATGTTATTCATATGCCTTTTGCCACCATCTCCTTCTTCACTTCTGTCTTCATAGAATAATGAGGT